GATAATTTATTTGAAAATGTTGAAAATGCGCTATCGATGTCATCAGAGAGGCAATCCCAGTCAATTGTTTGACATAAGCACTTCAAATTAAGGATTTTTTTTTTCCAAATAAATTATGCGAAACTTACGTGGGGCATTGGTCTTTAGAGAAAAGTTTGTGAGTACTGCTTCATGATCTGAAAACCCTGAACTAAAGACAGTACAGTCAACAATGCTTGGATCAAAAGATGGCACGACGTAGTCGATAATGCTTGATCTGGTTTTAGTTATTTGGGTTGGAAATTGAACATGCATGACTGTACCAAAAGATTCAAGTATAGACCGAAGAGAGTGTTAAGCAGCACATACACACTGGAAAAATCTATGTTAAATTCGCCACATAAAATTAATTTACTATTAAGAAACTCAAGCAAGCTTAGTAAGTTTTGAAAAAATGTAACCAATCCGCATCAGGTGTTCTGTAAATGCAAACAATGTAGGGGTCGTAGATATTCTCGTAGACTATAGAAAATTCAAATAATTTTTCAGATAATAAATTGTCAAACTTGCCGAAAAGTTGTTATTAGTGGACATTATCACAGTACCCACATGAGATAGTATACTTCTATTATACCTAGATACTGTGGTGTAGTTTTTGATAAACACAGGCTCGTCAACATTATTATCAAGTCGACTTAATGTAGAAAATATTTGACGAGAGCCGGTAATAGAAAATAATTCTACCCACTGTAATTTGACTCAACAGAAATAAGCCACTGTATAAAGATACAGAGTCATAAATATTTTATCGTTTCCGGCTCTTGTAGGAAATCTTTCACGAAAGCCGATAATCGAAAATACTTCCACCACTGTGTGATGATACAGGGTGATCAATATTTTCTTATCCCTGTCTTTTAATGTAGAAAATCTTTGACTAGAGCCGGAAGTAGACAACAATTCTTCCCACTGTAATTTGACTCAACAAAAATAAGCCACTTTATAAAGATACAAAGTGATCAATATTTTATTATTTCCGGCACTTGTAGGAAATCTTTCACGATAGCCGGTAATCGAAAACAAGTCCGCCACTGTGTAAAGCTACAGGGTTTTCAACATTTTATCTCTTAATGTAGAACATTTTTGACGAGAGCTAGCAATAGAAAACAATTCTACCCACCGTAATTTGACTCAACAAAAATGGCAACTAGCTAACGCGACTTTACTCTGTCATCCAGTGATTGGAACCGAAGTTCGTTACACCACTGATGCATCAAGTACAGCGCTAGGGAAAGTCTTGGAACAAAGCGTTAATAATAATTTGGAACCCCTAAGATTTTTCTCAAAAACATTCTCACCTGCTCAGAAGAACTACAGCACATACGACACTCACTGTCGTCTTTGGAGCCATACAGTACTTCCAGTAATGAGTCGAGTGCCGAGAATTTACTATTTGGACCGACCATAAGCCTCTCATATTTTCTTTTTAACAACGTGCCGACAAAGTTTCACGAAGACCACTCAGATAATTCAGACAAACCAGAATCGACGCCCTCAGATTTCCCACAGTAATTGACTTCAATGAGCTGACCGCGGCACAAGTCGATGATGAGCTCAAAGACATTTTGAAAATCAACCAAACCTCACTAAAGTTCCAAAAACCCACATATAGAGCAGAACATCAAGGTATCTACTGTGACGTGTCCACCAATAACATCAGATCCTTCGCGCCGCCAAGTCTATGATGTATTCTACAACTTGGCACATCCCAGTGGGCGAGTCACTAACAAGATAGTCTCTCAACGCTATATTAGGGCGTCTATAAAAAAAATCATAACACAATGGGCTCCAAACTGCTTGCCATGCCAAAAATCAAAGGTAGGATGCTACATTCACATGCAGCCAATCCAGATCAACGATTCGATCATGTACACATCGCGCCGGCTTTGGTCGCCAGAGTCTCAAGGTTTTCGATAGTGCATGACAATGATCGACCGTTTCACAAGATGGCCTGAAACAATACCCAAAAAAGATATCACAGCATACACAGTAGCCAACACATTCTGTAATTCAAATAAAAAGTGTTTTGTGTGCTAATTATGACCAATAATTGTGTGGTGCAAATCCCCACAGAATAAATACCTGTGGCGCCATATAAAAAAAAAGCTTTATACCTGTAACAAATATCTCTAATAAGAGTTCAGAAACCGGGCATTAATGATTCAGATTTTCTATTATTCTCGTTCTTTTGTTCAGTCACATTTGAATAAATCTTGCATATCCATATTCCGTTTTCCGAATAAAAATATTCAAGAGTATGTATATCCTATTATCTACAATTCGATATAATATTTTGTCTGAATTAGGATTCGATATGCTTGGCAAATAAGATTTTATAAATTTATCATATACATAAATAAAATGTGAGTTGCATGATGCATTTCAAGAGCATTTTTTGTGATTTTTCACTACTATCCAATCAGTATAAGTAGATTTTAGATTACTTACCTGCTCTTCGCTTCAAAATTGCGTACGTCTAGTCTCAGTAGTCGGATCGACCTATTTTTTTATGCCAAATGTTTGTGAGACCTTTTTCTTCATGTAAAATGTTTGAAGGACCACAACTAGGTTACCTACATTAGGTTCTCTAACTGACAAAAACTCCATTTAATTTCGGAGAAAATGTAAACTTAATTTGATTCGAAAGCAACTTGTAAAAGTCCTCGAAAGTCTCCTATTTATTTTCGCAAGATAAACCGAAGTATCCGCTTATCCGGTGCCAGAGAGATTTATTCATCGAGATTTTACAATGAAACCGTCGCAATTTTAAAGCACTTATTTTGTCCGCCACCTAAAAGGCTCGTAAACTATCTCAGACGCTCTGTATCAATGTTGCCTTTCAGGATTAAAAGCTTTTGGCTCTGGGTGCCGAAATTCCGAAAGTATTTATCGAATTTATGTTGGTTATCTCCTATTTTTTTTGTAACACTATGTCATCAACTCTTTTGTTTGCAACGTATGGCTTTCATCATAAAAACTTCAATTCACTGTGTCAAAGAGCACTTTATCAGTTCCGCTGATTATTCCTTAGTTTCCGAACATAATGAATATCCCACAACAGGTTTAATTTTTATTATTTCTAATTTAATATAATTTTCTTCTCTATTATTTACCATAAAAATAATATTATAAAAATAGATGCTATTGCTGGACTATTTATCCTGTAAAACCGGCAACAACAACCCTTTGAACCGGTAAAATTGCAGGTTTCTTCATTACCTTATAAGGTAGTGAACCTGTCTCGCCGCTGTGATTGGTTAGCCGCCACACAAAATTCCTAGTTTTTTGCGACCTGCTCCCTGGCAGAGCTAGTCGACGCACATTCTTCAGTACTATTAGAATAAGCGATGAGTTCGCACCCTCGCGCCCTCTGAATGCTCCCCAGAAGTAAAACCCCAAAACCCCCGTTAGTACGCGAGATTTATAGTAAAAATACTACTTTCTGTATGTCAAGGCCTGACATGGTCTATATTATTGATTACAATTCATGTAATTATCCCCTAATTGTTGCAAGTCACCTCGGACGAGTAAAATTCTCTCCTTCGCGATCGTTTTTGGCTCTCTCTCTCTCACTCTCGCCGGGCTCAAACGCGCCTGTATATCGGTGTATTTTCATCTCAGTGAAAAATTCCCTAGCTGCCAGTGTGAATAGTGATAAATGGATAAATAATCGTCTTGTGGAATTATCTACATGAACCGGATTAAGCAAGTAAGACCGTTACAATTTCTCTAACAGTCGAACAATGAATACTGATTAGTGATTCGCTTGAAATGCACTATAATTTGGAGTGTTTTCTAACGTTTAATGCAGAAATTAACATTTGTACATTTGTATATAAAAACTGAGCATATATAAAGACTTTTCTTGCACATATTTTTTACAGGCTTCCGCAGAAAAGTGCTCAAATTGTTAACTCTCTGATTGAAGTTGACGAATTATTTATATTGTGCTCTCGTGCATTTAATTAGTTTTGTGTTCTCGTTCATTGAACATTTAACCATAAATGATGTTATTATCATTATCAGATTTCCCTACTTTTTATAAATCAAGATTACTTTAGATTAGTAAAAAATTTGTAGTTCAACTGGACGTCCAATTAGGAATTTTTAGATAGGATTTGATTGATCTATACCGAATTACTTTCATTTAATAATTAAATTGATAATTATTGTATATCAGCGTTTTATTTGTATAAATGAAAATCAAGGCACCCCTAACCCAATACAAGGCTCAAATGATCCAATACCTAGTGGTTAATATTATTTACAGTCAGGCAAAGTTAAAACTTTTGGCATCCCTGGTGCGGTTTGACGAAAGCTCAAAAAGGGGCAATAGCTAGTTCCGTCACATTTTCCAAGCAATAAAGAATTTGTATCGTCTTTGATAACGCCTATCGTAGTTGTAGACTAAACATTTACGGATCACAGCCTACAAGCCTGGAAAACGCTAAAAGGAAAGGAAGTTGTAGTTTATTTCATATTGTCGTATAATAGGGCATCTCCCTTCGGTAAATTAAACTCACTCGTCTCCCAAAAAAGTTCATGGGTTACAGGAAGACCATCGGTCACGTTACATGTAAATAACATTGCAAGTTGAACGAATTATTAAACTATTAATTTGTACGGACATGGAACTGAAACCCATAGAAGGTCAATGCCGATGCCAGGTCATCGGCAGTTATTGTAATTAGAAATCACGTATGATGGTTGCGAGACTAGCATAAAATAAGGTGGTTTTAGAAGATAGGTCATCAGTCTACAGAGAGTGAATTATCCGCGATAGTAGTTAGTAGTAATAGTGCCTTTTAGTCTTGTGACAATTATTAGTGCCCATGCCCAGAACTGATATGAATTTGTGGTAAGCTTTAGTTAAATATACTTTCCTATTTTTGTACCTGGCTCTGGCTTTGATTTACACCCCTCATAACCCCCAGGTCCGACAATATCACAAATAAAACACAATTGCCTTACAATTTTTTATTAACATCGTACTAGTCTAAGATAAAAATAAATATCAAATAAAATTGATAACATTTATGTACAAAATTATGAAGATTGCATACATCAGGTTTCTTAAAAAATCTATTCTCAAATAAAAATTCTGTAGGCATAGAAAAAGTTGGACTGACCCTATGCGAGCCATTAATTGGTTTAATATACTAATAATTATACAAAACAATGTGAAAATTATGATTAATTAAAGAAAAAATATGTTATTGTCTGAATGATTTTGAAGGTAGGTACATTCAAGTTTTTTTGTGATAAGTTACATAATGTTTTCTCATCTGTTCTGTCAAAAATAAATTAATAACGAAATGCAAACTTGTAGGTCTTAAACAGCTTATTTAATTAGCAACTGATGACCTCCGACAAAGTGATTGGGAAAGTTTTTTAATAGAGAAATTTGTGAAATTGGCCGCATTACGTTAAAGCTGAATAGAAATGGAATTGATTGTAGCAAATTCTTGTCTAGAATTAGAAAATCAACCAACTCATTCAAAAGAAAATATAGAAAAGCCATTGACAATCGACAGTTCATCCATATTAAGGTGAAGTATTCTTTCAAGCATACGGATCTTGAATGAATAATAAAACCAGGTCTGGAAAAATGTTGGAAATTAGTATTTGATTATAAAGACAATTCCTTACATGTTCATGTATTTGGATCGAGACATGCTCCATCCGTCTTGATCAAATAGTTAGGAGTTATCATTGACTCCAGACTCCAGAACAATCGAGAAGAACACCATAGAATCTGCAGAAGTTGAACAGAAGAAGAACCAATAAGGAGAAGCAATCCGACGAGAAGACAATCACAATATCTCGAAAATTATGAGGTATAGTTGGAGCAGAATCGTTCCTTGAAATGTTCCAGAGGAATTTCTGAAATAATTGAAAAATTGATAGAATCTGTTAATTCAGTCAGACAGGTGTTCCAGAGCAGAATTACTGTTTTACTAATAAGGGTGCTGCTTAAACTCTAGAAGTCACGTAGGATTTCCAAAAACCTGCCAATTAAAAATTTGATACTAATCAATTTTCTACACGAAATAAAAGTAAGTATAACTTAGGCATGACCCTATTATAACTTCTGTACACTTTTCATAAAATTTAGACTGGTAGAAGCAGTTAGTTAAAATTTACAGACCCTGCATTTTTAGTTATACAGCAACAACTACTAAAATTTCATATTTACATAAAAAAACCTATTTATATTCTGGATATAGATAGATAAAAATAAATGTTATGTTTCGACTAGCTTTTAGTGGGAAGTCCACAAATAACGATATTGATCTTTGCTAAAATTTGATGTACCAGAAATGCTGCAAACATCTCAATATTATTTTGTGTTTTGTATTTTATATGTTTTAAATCCATATTTGATTAGTTTATGTCAGTCAGTCTTGTCTAATAATTATCTACTTTTTTTAATTTCTGTTGATAATCGCTCTGTTTACTACTTCGCAAAATGTTCCATATACATGTGCCTTAACTTTCTATTGCTAAAGATTAACTATAAAGTTCTGTTCTTATAAGATTGTCGACATTTATTACAAGATGGATCCTTTAGATAAATCCGTATTTGAAGTTCAAAGATAAGCACTGCGCGCCTCGGTTTGGAACTGATTTCTAATTTAAGTTTTCATGCAAACCTGAAACTTTCTGATTAAACATATAAAGTCCAGCCAACTTATTGTTTTTTGTATCAATTGTAAATTCTTTCACATCTGCTATTAACATCTTAAAATATTTAATATTAAATACATCTTTTACATGGAATTATTTCTTCTGGTTCTTCACAGATTGACGCTAGAGTTTTGGTTTCAATCAGAAATAGTCCTAGAACCATTTGGAAACAATTTGTGGTTGATAAACAATAATCAAAACTAAATTGTACTATTCTTTAAAAACTTTTTGTGATTGGGAACAAAACCTTTTGAAATACTTGTATTAAAAAATTAATACTAACTTATGTAGGTTGAATCAAAAGGATATGCGTTGAAATAAAATACTTATTATACACGTTTTGATCTACTTTTGATTATGTTTTAGAAATGTTAGTACTTCAAGGTTGCATTTTTCTTATACAGAGAGACTCGGAGTAAATTGCCCTTTTCGAACGCGCCCAGTATCCAACCCAATATTTGTGGAGGGGTTAGCGCTGGCAATTTGCGGCGCACGCGTGCGGATTATCAGTGAATATGGAGCAGTGGTCGAACGAGCAACGTGCATTTTTCAAATCGAACTATTCCTGTCACGGCGGCATTTTTGTAACCGTTACGATATTCGGAATCGTTCGATTTGAAAAACGCCTCGACCATGAACACGCGTTGCTCGTTCAGCCACTGCTCTATGTTTACTGATAATCCGTACGCGCACTCTTCGGAAATTGCCAGCGCTAACCCGCCCACAAACATTAAGTTGGATGTATGTACAGGGCGCATTCGAAAAAGAAAATTTTCTCTGTATTTACTTTATGTCGGAGCAAAAGCATACACAAGTTTAAACTTACAAAAAATTAAAAAGTCATTTCTTTCCAATTAATTCTACCATCATATACTGTACATTTTTATTTAAATAATCATTGATTTTAGTAATTATACTTGGAAATAGTGATTTAATTCATCTGCCAATTATAAATAAACTTTCTAATGTTGTGTACAATAAAAAATAGTACAAACCTGATAATTTTGTAACCATTGATACCTACAATATATTAGACTAAACTTATGTTATCCAAGTTGCAGCAAATACATTTTTTATACAGTTTACAGTCTTTGATGTGACCCAAGTGGCATCGAAATCCACAATAGACCAATCCCTGTTAATTCACCTTTTTAAAATTAGTTAAATACATAAATGTAAAAAATCCTTAGCTTTATCTGTGCACGTGCATGAGTAGAAGGACGATTATTAATATTTGTAAGCTGGGTATTTCCAGTCTTTGACTTTCTGAAACAACGAAAAAGAAATGTTAGGGTTTTAACTTTGTGAGCAAGGGAACTATTGTAATCTCGTAAAACGATATGATTAAAACAGCAGCAAAGATCAAAGTAAAATCTTGTACTTGTGGATTTAACAAGAAAAACTATCATGAAACGATGGATGATGAAAAACTAAAGTAGAAAATTGCAAATAACTCTACTCTGAATCAGGATTCTACAACCTGTAAATAGAACATACCTACTGTAGAGAACTGAGAATTGAACCTAATTATTAGGATCAATAGGTATAGGTACTAATAAAAAATCATGATTACTTTCCTAAAAATAAATCAACGTTTCATTTCACCCTAAACGAAACAAAACTAAAATACCTATTATGCTTCGCAGTGGCTTTTTTGTATCTCCGGACGGTGATAAATTCCGGACAGCACTTGCAATTTGCATGAAATATTATTTAAATATATCTCTACTATAAAGCATAGTTGACTGATTAAAATTTTAAACAAAGAATAATGGAACGATTTATTTCGAAATTTAGTTTAAAAATAATTTAGTCCGGGCATTACTTATATTTTATTATATTTTTCTGTGATAAATTACTGCTAAAATGTTTTATGTGACAAAATTTGTATTGTCTGCTTTGTTTGGTAGATAATACAATTTATTATTTTAGTTTTTGTTTTAGAGAAAATCATCACCTCATAAATAGCCAGCAATATTAATATGAAGATTTTTTTAAAGTCCACTATATCGAGACCTCATTGACTCCAGGCTGATTTGGAAATATCACGTCAACAGAGGGTCACTGCTAGCCTTCGGGGAAAAATATCCATCGAAAGCACCTGGGGCTCACAATTCCACATAATCCGCTTGCTTTACACAGCAGCGATAAGGCCAACAATCACGTACGGCAGCTTAGTTTATCCACCTACAGGGCAAAGTTAGACAAGCTCCAACGACTTGCCTGCACGGATAGAATAGGCGGCTACAGTCAGACTCAAAGATTGGGGACAATGGGTTCATAGAGGGCTGAACATGGGACATGCAAAGGCCTGGAATGATACTATGAGACAAGACCCCCTTCTTACCAGAAGGGATGCAATGCCAAAAACTTCAGCCCCCCAAGACAATACAAAATCGTCATCTTTGCAAGGGACAACTGGCTAGAGCCTGATCTAGGTTTGCTTAAGCCGGGCACATCTAGTATACAGAAGGATCTTTGATGGGAGAGGATGCAGGGGCTGGTGTATATGAGGAGAGACCTTTGGCGAGAATAAGTCTTACACTGGATCGATAACTGACGGCATACTAGACTGAGATCTATACGTCATAGAGGTGTGTGCTCGGGAGAATCTCCATTGAGGTTACTTGGGCAAGCATGTTCATATATGCAGCGACTGTCAGGTCGAGCACTTTACTCGACAAGGTCAACTCAAGGCTCACGCTTGACTGTATGACAACCCTAGAACTACTCAGTGAGCTCAACAAGGTCACCCCTGTTTGGGTCTCGGATCACACTGGCTCTAAGGGCAACGAGCAAGTGGACCAGCTGGTGCGTGAATGTAGCAACACTGCCTTTATTGGGCAAGAGCTTGGGGTTGCATCCTGCCTGGTGAAAACCAAGATCGGGCACTGGTCCAACTACCAGTTCGAAGACAAATGGGTGAATCAAAGAGGCCTCAGACATTGATTGAGAGTCACTACGCATCCTACCTTTCGGCTTTCGTACTTCCTGTTACCCAACAACTATCATAGCTAGCCGTACCTGCTCTCTAGAGTCCAACACCTACGAAAGGCACCAAGTTTTTGGGCTTGGTTGGGCAGGCCTTTACCCTGGGTACTTGTGTTAGCCGGGTTCCCCCAGTCACCGTTCGGTCCCATGGGTATCTACCACATCTAGATTAATACACGCTTATGCCTTTCAACCACGAACTCTGGAATCAGCACAGCGGCGAGCATTTTTACCGGCACCGGAATGTGGTAGACTCAGCGCCGCAGTTTCTTGTGTTAAAAGTGCTCACTAGGTTAGTTCCTTTTCCCTTGACAAGGTCCGAAATCGGGATTTCCCCCTACTAGCTTTCGGAACACCCCAGTCATCCGTTGCCCAGATTCCTGGGATAGGGTAAACATTTAAAGGTCCTTCTCCCACGCCAACTAGTGAGACTATAGGTATTACTCAGATTATACCTTTAACCCCCCGGCCGTTCCTGGGTCCTCGTTTGATCGGACGACTCGCGGTTCGAGTTACCGCCCATCCCCTGAAAGCTGGGCTCAGCGAATTTTCGTTCGCAGACTTCGCCTCTTTTTGCGAAGAACGGACAATACCGCTACCATCTTTATGAAGAGGGGCTCAGGAACTTCACCCAGAATTCTGGGATCGTTCGAGAGCTCCTCCCTCCTTCTCCTATCGTGAAATGGTAGACACGATAGTTCGGTGGAGGTTGAGAAAATTGCACCAGCGAATCAGCCATCGAAATGTGGGTACGTACAGTGGAAATCTCGTTAATTTAGGCTTCAGACAGTCATAGATTTTTATACAAGGTCCCTTAAACTGCAAAGAGGCAGAAAGCCTCCTCAAAATAAACAGGAGCCAACTAAGAGCCATCACTGGAGTCCTGACAGGGCACTGGGTCGTCAGATACCACCTGCATAAAATTGGACTCAGGAATGGGACGGAATGAAGGTTCTGCAGTGAAGTAGATGAAACTACTAAACATATTGTCAACAAGCAAAGCTACTTAGGAAAATATGACACTGTATATGACTGACCGACTTATTGATTGGCGAGTCAGCGATAAACGAATATAAACAATGGTTGGCAATACATGGATAGGCAGACTTGAACCAGCATCAGGACTTCTTTTGCAAAAACCTCCTCTGGCTTCAAGCCTCCACCCAGTGCAATCCTCTTTTGGGAAAGCTCCTCTGGGTGTCTTCAGTCTTCATGTCATCTAGTGCAATTACCTCTCTTGAGAAAGCCTATCTGGACGATCCTTTACTTTAACGAATCGCACCTAACGTAGCTTTCTGTTTTTCAGGTCGCTAACCTTGTGCCCCTAACGAAGAGGCACTATGTACCATAGGGCCATCCTTTGGTAATTACTATTATAGCCTTTACTCTACAATATACCTTAAACTAAATACCAAGCGAGTCTCTATCCTCCTGACCCTACGCTACATACCCGTCACGACAGGATAAAGTTATGACATTTGGTGGAAGTGCCGTCTCAAATCGGATGCCCAAACAAGTAGTACCATTAGATTGATGGGTGAAGGCGGAAGGGTTATCATATACGAATATAGGAAAAGTATTACCTACATAAATCGAATGTCAGAAGAACAGTATAAATACAATCTACGATACAAAGGCACGAGCACGCTTAGCAACGAACCATTGTTTAAGCCAAGCCACAGAAGCACAGAAGAAGTCTCCATACCCCTCGCCATATCTTTCCGGACGTTAACAATATCACCACAACAATGTCTAAATATTTTGATTGGGATCCAATAACGGAAATAATTGGAGGGAATTTATTACCACTCGGAATTGCATGAGCCAAGATAGAACAGTGAATCAACTAACAGACATACCGCCTGTACAAAGTCCCATCCTCACAGATAACAGCAAAATGGCCAATACAACTATCCTCGAAGCCATGCAAACAGAGAAAAAAGCAACGGTGCCCCAATTTATAAACCCTCCGACGTTTCACCCTTGCAGAAGCAATGCGACAGAATTTTTGAGGGTCTATGAAAGGACGGCAATAGCAAACGGACGGAATGACACACTCAAAATTACCTTTTTCGAGACATTTCTAGACGGTGCAGCAAACTTATAGTTTCAAGAATACAAAATAAATAATCAGGACAAAGAGTGGAATGACTACCGAACATTTCTGAAAAAGAAAGTTGTAACGTCTGACGAGACACTCCGAGATTTTCTATACCAACTGAGAGTGCTGTACCACGATTATAAACAGACCATGGATATCAACGAATTTGTGACCATCTTTAGCGAAGGGCTGAAAGAAGAAAACTCCTACCACTTCTACTGGCTCACAAATCCACCAAATGGACCCTTTTCGACATTGGAGAAGTTGAGGAAATAGCACAAACTATAGATAAAGCCCCAAGGAAAGAAACCAACCGAACACCGATGAATGTAATCCCGCCTCAATTGCAAAGGCCGTATGATACCCGACCGCCCCAATAAAGCAGCAAGGAGATCACGTGCTACTATTGTGGGAGAAAGGGACATAAGGCAGCCATCTGCTCCAGTAGACAACAGGCAGTCCAGGGTAAGGGACCAGCCCTGGCCCAAATAGTGGAAAAGGGACAATGTGCTATAACTGCGGAAAACCAAGTTACTTGGCATCGGTGTGTAGAAGCCAGCAGCACAACGAAAGCTACAATGAGGAACCGAGAACTTATAGAAGTACACCAGTCTGTTATAAGTGTGAAAAACCAGGTCACTTTACAACAACTTGCATGAATCAATGACAGCATCCAAAAAAGAGTTGCTGGCAAAAGTAAGCGCCCCTACCATAGGATGGTAGGGACAATAATGAAATCCTTTACATCACAATTAGAATCAATAATGAGAACAGAACATAACTGCGATAATCGATACTGGAGCCCAATAACGTCATGCAAAGAAATGCGGCAACACAAAAGATTCAAACAGACGAAAATATAGTCCTAACCACCGACGGAGTTCAGCGAATACCAGTCATGGGAGAAGTAACAATTCCAATGGAAATTTCGAGAAGCACGGTGTGGAGAGGCAGCGTTAAATCAGAAGTAATTTCAGCATCCATACAACCAATAATGGTATGGAATTTCTAACAGAAAATAAGGCTATTATAGATCTACCACGGAAGCTGCTTGTACTGAATATTGTATACAAAATACCCCTACACCATGATCACAAGGAAAAAATCAGTCTGTCCAGCCTCATTACAACAACCCAACTGGTAAACAAACACAAGCAGGACGAAAAAGATGAAAAAGAATTTGACAAATTTCTCAAATCCCATTCACAGATAAAAAAGGAAGAAGTGAACAGCTTCCTAAAAGAAGAAATCAGACACAGAAACCAGCTGCAAAGCAATACCACATTGGTGTTCGAGGTAACAAGAAACTACAATAGAAAAGAAAGCTGTCTACAAATCCTACAGACACATGCTTCCTAGGAGGGAAGCAGAGGACATAGTCGGACAATTATTAGTAATAAACCACAACGGAAACTCAACAGTGTTCCTTTTATAAAAGACACAATGCAGACAAAAACCAAACCAAGAAACATGTACAAATGTTTAATAGCACTGAGAGAAAGCATAAAAGCAATACCTCAAAAAACTGGTATTTCCTAGACAAGGATGAGGATTGGAAAAAAAAAATGGGAAAGATTGCGAAATTAAAAACTGGAAAATCCACAGATTGCTGATAGAATGGTATTCGATTCGATTTTAAAATGAAATTGAAAGATATCGAAACTGAAAAGGATATTTTTTCACCTTACCTTCCAAACTCCACTCAGCTGGCCAGCTCATTCAGGAAGTTCAGATCCCATACCTAGGAGTGCAACGAAACCGCCTTCATTTAACCGGTCGCGGCAAACGAAAAACCGCGGGTCTATTTTCTCGAACCACACGGAGCGGGCGAAGTGTTTTTGGCAACTGGTACTGCTTGTCGGCAGGAAGTGTCAGGACTTGCCAGTACCATTTTTGAAAGCCAAATTTAGCAAAGCCGTATCATTCTTAGGCATAGAGCACGCGCAATTCAATTAGAATAAGAGAAAAGAAAAAAGAAAAAGAAAAACGAATCCATTTCCATTCCCATAAAGGATTTAACATCCTAAATACCCAATTCAACCTACAACTATGTACAGGGCGCGTAGATGAAACTGAACAGTGTTCAAAGATACGAGAGTCGAAGTCAGCATCCAGAAAGTTAAACCAGACTTCTGGAAGATAGAGTTAAAAATTGAAGATTAGGCTTCTAATGCAAATAGACACGGACACCCAAACAAAAGTACATAAAATTGGAGTCAAAAAGGACTACACGATAACCCAGAATGAGATAAAGACAATAGCATTTCTAGAGGAACCGTAATACGAAATCCCCGCCTATCACCTAGTAACAGAGGAGGAAATCGTGGAACGGGAACAGACAGAAGCAGTAACAGGCTACAACATCACAAACGGAGAAATTAAATTGGCACTAGAAGAACTACTACTGGAGTATAATGAAGTTTTCGCCAAATCAACAAAGCACATGAGAAAGACAAATCTGAAGGAACATAAAATAGAAGTAGGGGAGGCAAGCCCAATAAGAAGCCGTCCTTACAAAGTATCCCAGAAAGTAAGGCAAATAATCAACGAGTAAATAAAAGAACTGCTAGACAGCAATGTCATTCACCTTGGGCTGGTCCGGATGGGAAAATTTCTTTTTGTGTCGACTACCGAAAAGTTAATGCCGTAACAAAGAAATCATCATACCCTCTACCACAAATCGACGATATTCTGTCTCGGAAATGTATCCTATTTCAGCACTCTTGATATGTTTTCTGGATACTGGCAGGTACCCGTTGAAGAAAGCTCCAAACAGAACACCGCATTCGTAGTACAAGGTCACGGAACCTACGAATTTAATGTTTTCAGCTTTGGAGTTTGTGGGAGCGTTACAACCTTCCAAGAACTAGCTGACCACGTTTTTTAGGACATGCGAATAGGACGCCCTCGTCAGTCGCAGACTAGGATACCTCAGGTACAGGTTTCTGGAACCTGATCAAATAAAGCATGTCCGACTTGAGCGGGTCTGTATCTTTCTTAAAAGGTGCAGGTAAAAGTGAGATAGAAAAGGTGCACGTAAAGGTAAGACAGGGCTGCATCAAGAGAGGGATAGCACAATGGGCCAAATGCTGCCTGTAAAAGCTCCCCTTTCAAATCAAATCAATTCCACTCTATTGAGTTTTTGTGATCCTATTTTAAAGTTTATGTCTCAAAATTTTTCGGATTAATTTACCATAAATACAATAATTATTGTTACACGTAATAGAATGAATTCTCATTTACCTGATCTGTCGTCTCTCGGACTTAATACTGAAGACGGCTTCGGTCTTGGTTTAGCTTCTTCCAAAATCGCTTTTCTTTCCCCTCGGTATATGTTGAAAAGGGATGCTACACAGCTCAGAGCTGCTTTTCCTTCCTGCAACGAAAACAATTCTATTACAATAATTGCATACTTATACAAAACCTATAAAGACATAAACCTCTAATAATGATAAAATTGAAACGAGCCTCTCGTATACTTAGAAAAAAATAGCTATAATTCGAATAGTTTTTATTTCCTGCTAACGGAATCAAGGAATATCTCTCAAAGGCAAACAAAACAAATTTTTATAGCCGATTTCCGTGTCTCCTAAATTAAAAATAGCGTATTTCCGCTGAGAAATTAACTTATTTTTTTGTTTAGAGAAGCATCTATAAGGCAAAAAAGAAAAAAAAATCAATTCAGCTGATTTCCGCATTGCGAAAATCAACTCGATAGTGGCCGTTACCTGAAACGTGCTCTCCATTATTTGTAATTCGACTCCCGATATCATAACGTAGTGTTTTCGTCTACTCGACAGGAATTCGGGTTCAACTTCTAATTTCCTCGAAAAACTCTCTGGTATCTGGAAAAAGTTTTCTCTTGAAAATTATCATAAATTAAAATTCAAAATTATTACCCTTATTCCATTCAAATACCAACTAACATTTGTTGCCGGATATGATGGCAACGTTGTGCAATTTCCGCTAATGAAATCGCCGATATCCACGTAGTTTTTTTCTATTAATAATGAAGGGTCATCTAAGGGAGCATCTGAAACAATACCGACAACAATTTAGTCTCAAATAAGTTTCCAAAAAACTTTATCACTCACCGACGACATACATGTATCCCGAATTAAATTTAGTGTCGAAATTGGGCGCGTCCGAGGAAACTTCGCACTTGTATCGTCCCGTTACTTCCGACTGGACGTTCCTCAGGACAACTTCGTTTGGTGTGCTTTTACTTAGCTGGAAAAGAATTACTTCTTTAGATGCTTTAAAAATTTTAAAATCAAATAGTTAACTATAAAATATTTGTGAAAGAGAAATATTTAGCCTCCAGATGATTTCTCAAGTAACATAGGAAACAGAGACATATTTAGAAAATAATGTTTTATCCAAGATAGGATTTGCCTTCTCGTCTTTTTTCGATTTGAAGTCACTACAGTTTTTTTTAAATATGAAATACTAGGATTATATGTGGGATAAAGATTTATCTCAATAATTTCTTCACATTTTTTCCTGATTTCTCGTATTCTAACAAGTTAACCGAGCCTGCTTAGGAAAATATTACACTGTACATGAATTCAATAATGAGTTTACCACAAATCGACAAAATACAGGACCTAATTAACCTGATGGTTAATTATGATGACACAGACAAGAAACGGATGTTAATTACGATGCGGGCCGCATCACAGTCATACTTCAACCAGCGCCAATGCCTCTATTTGGGAAAGCTCCTCTGGACAAGGCATAAGAGTCACTAGCTGCAGATGGGACCGACAGTACCGCAAGCAGCTTTGACGTGTGGCCCTCTATAAGGACAGCATTAGAAGGGTCATGCATCCTATAGGGTTAGGATACATGTAAGAGACATCTTGGGTAAAAATATCTATTTATTTTTTATACTATTTGAACGAGTTTCGCTCCATCAATCCTCAAAGCTTCAACCCCTATGTCACCCCTGTAAAACAGGGGATTGCGACATTGTAATAGCATAAAACAAATTGAAATGACGTCACATAGTGATGGAAATATTTATGTCATTACGTTTACGGTGACTCTCACCGCTAAAAAACCGCTTGCAATGAAAAACATTGAACAATGTTTTGTGACGTCATTTGCCATAATATTACGCCCGCTATTTGACGGTGCCGCTTTTGAGGAAACCAGGGCCGAATGATGTAACCATTCTCAAATTTGAGACCTGAATAAACCCTGCAAAATATTTCAAATAATTCCTGAATTCGAAGTGAATCAAATCTTCTTGACGAATTAATTAAATCCCTGTGATTATATGCACAATGTGGAAACATGAAATCAAAATACTCTTCTTGTTGAACATATTATTATCAAAAGTAAGCTCCAATTTAGAGCAGATCAATTAATAAGCTTCCAAATGAGTATTAGGACATTGAGGAAATTTACTCTTTGCAGATTCTCACCACTAATCCATGACCTCCATCGACTTAAACTGCTACCTGGAGAGTCCCTCCTTAGAATCTACTACTGACTAGAAATTCCTTATGCAAATTCTCTGAAAATCCCTACAAATTGAAACTCAATATCAATGAGGCATTCACACACACTCTCGTTTTCAAAAAGTTTCGAACAATAATAGAACACCAATCATCTATAAAATAAATCTAATCAATGCAGAAAGCATGTTTCTGGTAGTTCCAAATTTATTCAATATCTGAATCAGAGGCATTATGCTTAGCTAAATATTCAGCTTCTCCCAACCAACATTTAACGAAATAATCCACAAAGTTTCGTACCTACCAAATCCTTCTAAAAAAAGTCCCAATTATTATTCCAACCAGCAAAAATAGGGAGAGGCATTCAAACGATTTTTCTAATAAAATGAATTTGATAACGCCAAAACTCATTATTCATTAGGGTAACATTCATATCAAAGCCTGGATGTCAACAGAAACAGGGCTTCACCAGCTGATCAGCATAGTGGAGACCATAATTGAAAAACGGAGGACTGTCAGAATAATGGTGGATCTAGTGACAGGCCATTGCTGACTGAATAGACATTTAAGTCTGATGAGAATGGAAGAAAACACAAATTTTAGCTTTTGTCAAGAGGAGGAAGAAACGGCAACTCACGTTTTGTGTCATTGTAAAGGGCTGTCGAGAATGCGCTTCCGATGTTTTGGCTCAACCAAACCAGAAGCAGCAAGCTACGCTAGGGAGCCATTTTCGAGGTTGTGTAGTCTAATCTGAGAGATAAAACTGGACGTGGCTCCATAACATGGAGTGAGTTACAATAAATTCGCAGGATCGCAGTGACGAACAGGCGGAAAGCTAACTTTCCGAACATTACTAATCTGATCTGATCTAATCTTATAATTGGAAAATAGGGAGGTGATGCTGGGCTGCTTTTTAAATATAGAGGGAGCTTTTGACAACTCTTCCTTCGAGACAATAACCAGATATCTTGAGCACAAAAGAGTTGAGTATACCTGCTGTGTGTGGATTAAGTCCATGAAAGAATGGTAGAAACCACCGTCGTGGAGACGCTGGCGGCCTGAGGTTACAGTGGTGGACGGTCTGCTCAAGGTGCTCACAAACCGAGGACACCGTATCCTCGGATATGCTGATGACATATCATCTCACGGGGCAAATTTAACTCTACAGTAAGGAAGCGAACGCAAGACGGAACGAAAACAAGATGGGTGGATAGAGAAGGGTTAAATATCAGTCCCAACTAATCTACTATCGTAGCATTCACCCAAAGGCGTTTAATACAAGAAATGGAACCATTTACACTAAAGAAGGAAAACATACAGATTTCGAGCGAGGTGAAGTACCTGAGGGCAATACTGGACTCAAAGCTTACCTGGAGTCAGCATGTGAAAAAATCACCAAAAAATTGTTAGAAGCCTGCATGGAGAATTATGGGGCTTCAGACCGGACATACTGTACTAGACATACAACATGATGATCAAACCCATCTTAACATACGCCTCCTTGGTGTGATGGCCAAAGTCACAAAAGGGAAGTGCCAGACGCTAACTTAGCAAAGTGCAAGGCCTGGCCTGCTCAGGAAGAACGAAAGCAATGCGGTCCACAAATACAGCAGCCATAGAAACCCTCCTCGACCTTCCACCTCTGCACATTGTGATACAGGGGGAGGCAACGATGTGAGCGAACTTCTGGGGGAAAATATTTTCAATATGCAGATGGACCGAGAGATGGACCAAATGCGAAAGTGACGCTGCCTCAATAAACCGTTCGACGTCAACTTCCCAAGCAGAATTGAATGGGAGCAGGGCATACCAAAAAGCAGGACCTGATCTGGTACACAGACGGATTGAAGATTACGGCTGGTACCGGGGCAGGGATATACTCCGCCAGCTACAGCAATCACTATGCACTGGGAAAGCATGCCTCTGTTTTTCAGGCAGAGGTATATGCTATACTCCAGTGCGCAGTGAAGAATAACAGGGGCGCCGTAGCCCGACAGGTAAATCCTTATAATATCCGCCAGTGAAGGAAAGACTCATCTAGGTGCCAAAACACAGAGGAATCGAAGGCAATGAAAAACCTGACGAACTCTCAAAGAGAGAATCAGAGCCGACAAAACTAATCGGACCAGAGCTGACTTTAGGGCCCTGACCGAACAGCCAGAAAGAGCCGCAAAACTGCTACAATTGAGTAGGGGCTAAGGACTATATCGGGCAAGGATGAAGTTTTATGACGAAGACCATAACTGCAGGCTCTACAATAAGGAACCGGAGGCAGCCAGACACATCCTGATAAACTACGAGGCAATGGATCGCAGAAGACACAGCATTTTCGGGCAATCAAACGTATTCCAGAAAACAATGACTACGTTTATTTCGACGGTTGGATCCGGATCGAAACTCAAGCGGCTTGGTAAAACCCACTAAAATTCGTGTTCATCCATGATATTGTCACAACTGCCCGCTTTATGGGGGTGACATGGGGGGTTTGTAGCTTTGGGGGTTGATGGAGAGAAACTCGCTCAGGTTATATAAAAATATAGATATATATTTTACCAAATATTCCCTTACATGTACGCTGCATGACCCTTCGAACACTGGGGTCCTTATAGGTACCACACGTCAACGCTGCTTGGGAGACTGTAGATTAGTTTATCGTCACCCTTATGCCTTGTCCCGAGGGGCGTTCCCAACGAGAGATAATTGCACTGGACAACGATAAGGCTGAAGATACCCAGAGGGACTTTCCCAACGAGAGGTACTTGCACTGGAGAGACTTAATTCCAGAGGGGCTTTTCCAACGAGAGGTACTTGCACTGGTTTAAGTCTGCCTTTGCTGCGGCTTACAGCGCAATTTATATCCGTTTATTGCTGAATTGCAATAAACATCCGACCGAATCGGCAATTAAATTAATAAGGTTGAATACCGGGTCCTCCTTTCCTAAGCAGCTAGTTGACAATATAAGCGGTAAGGCGTTCAGGCTGCTCGAGTTGAGCCAAGTCAAATTTACGAAATGACCGTTTAATCCATTTTTAATCTGGATCCAGCTTCTGCGCCTAACTTCATTCGCCTCAAACTGCAATAAATGTCAAAATCCGCTGAAAAATTTGTTGTTTTGTAATAGAAAGGTTCGACAATTTTTGTTATTCTTTTATTTGAATCAAAATCGAGAAATTTTCTTATTAGAAAACGATCAAAATAAATTTGAGCGCAAAATATTAATATTTGCGTTTGTTGCAAGCAGTTAAAAATCAACGATCGGCGCCAGGATAAAAAACGTACCTCTACGCGAGACTAGGCTGTATGACGTCAGTAGCCACGTGAATTCATATATCGTCCGTATCGGCCTTCACGCAAACGCTGATCCGATTAACCCAATCACCACCTGATGTAATTTATCTTTTTTTAATCACGATTCATGTTCATTAAAGAAAGATGAAAAACAGACAGCTTGTGATCGGATCAGCGTTTGCGTAAAGGCTTCTACGGAAAGTATACGAATTCACATGGCATGCCGGCTACTGACGTCACGCGGTCATCTCGCGTACAGGTACGTTTTTTATCCTGCGCCGATCGTTGATTTTTAACTGCTCGAAATGAACGCAAATATCAATATTTTGCGCTCAATTTTTTTTAAATCGTTTATTGATAACAAAATCTCTCGATTTCAGTTAAAGTAAAAAAATGTCGAACCTGTCTATTGTAGGTAATGTTTGTGAATTAAATTTCGAAAAAAAAAGAATGATACTAAATAAAAAAGAAATTGCAGTAATTACTGCGATATACGTTATGTTTTCATCATCATCGCATTTTCACAAAATACCTTCTTTTGCATTTGAATCTCCAGGGGCCCGACTCTGGTCTCAGTGAGTAGAGCTTCCGATGGAAAGAATGTTCTGTCCTTGTCAACGTAATCGAAAAGTAAACGAGGATGATAAAGTCGAAAAATTTGTTTTCTCGGGAAGCTCTACTCCCTGAGACGAGAATCCGGCCCCAGGGCTTTGAACACTTCTACTGTTTTAAAACCTTTTTTTTTTCAATAGTTCAAGAAACATAATACATAGTTTCTTTGCCGCTCCAAACGTTTCTACGTCGTTTTTTTTTTCCATCACAATAATAATTATTAATTGAACACTAAACGTTATTTCATTTCCACCCACAAACTCCAAAACAAATTGTGAGAAGTGAAAACAAGAAACATGAAAAAGTGAGGTTAGATTTCACTCGTGCCTGCATCCTCTTCGATTCTGCCAAATAATCACTTGAGATTAGGGATTGAAAATTCGAGCCACTTGAGTTTCGATCCGGATCGAACCGTCAAAATAAACGTATTGTTCGTCGATTTTTAACTGACTTTCCGTATGAGGAGCGAGGGGGTGTTTCATATGGCAAAAACAGGTGTGACGTCAGGTAACCATTGGTGTTCTAATGTAGGGAGTCACCAGCTCACATTCCGTCTGAGTATCAGATTAAAATCGACGGAAAATAGTGAATAATGAAACACCACCCAGTAAAAAACCTTTACAACCTTGTACAGGGTATAGGTACTGAGGAAAACCATCTATTTAAAATATTATTTCTTCAAATCATAACTTTATAAAAAAATGTTTACTGAATAAAATTAAATATTGCAACCATGTACTGCGCCACAGAGTTTAGGTTTAGGAGACAACGAGAGTACAGAGTACCAAAGCGAACGGGAGGTAAAGAATAAGCGAGGAGGCATTAGACTAGAAAACAAGCAGGGTGCTGGGCTGTTCCCTTTTTACGTGTGTCTGAAATTATTCATTGTTCAATTTCCATTTCTATTTTGCATTAAACTTGATTAATCAATCCAATTTGTTATTAGTGTGTGTGTGTGTGTGTAAGGAGCGTACAGGTTAGTGGATTAATTATTATTTGGTTTTTGAGAGTTCAATTTACGCAAGTACAGTAGTGTCGCAATAAATGTACTCTGTAATCCGGATTTCACTTGATTCGGTAATCCGAATTAATTCACATGACTCTTGAAAATAAAAGCACAGGTTTTCACTTGTCGTTTTGTAACTGCTTTCAAGTGGATAGATAGTTTTTACATGTCTACACGCATCATTTAATACGCGGCGTCCTTTCTGACTGTGTGGGTTTTTTTTTTTAAAGAAAATGGAACCTATTAAACGCAAACACAAAACTTTAAAACAAGTGAGATGAAGACAGAGTCTCCATCTATTTTCTGATCGGCACACTAAAAATTGCAACCAACAACTGTATAAAACTAGTATTAAATTGGAGCTCTCCAATTTAATACTAGTTTTATACAGACACATGAATTTCAAGAATTCACGTGCGAAGATGCCCCGACAAATTATAGGTGAGTGGCTTTACTTGAATAAGGTAATTCTCAAGGGTTTGTGGTTAATAGAGTTGGTGTTGGACAAATAGATGAGTCTCGCACCTGGAATCGCTATCTTCAGATTAATTATTATCCTCTTCGTGATAGACCCAGAAGCGGTAGAAGACATGTCACTAATCAAAATCAGAACCGTTATATTCACTTCCGAAGAAACCCGACCATGGCAATACCAGCACTCCAAAGAGATATGCTTCGTGCCTTGGAAGTTCAAGTATCGGTGTTTACATTGCGGAGACGAATATTCGCGACAGGTTTGAGGAGGTGTTGCTTTCTTATGCATGCCCCGTGCCACCCTTTGCAGGAAGAAGTGCAATGTTGGTATCGTGTCTAATGGTGGCACAGAACTATTTTTTATTCAGAGCACAATGACTGGATACATTAGAAAGATTTTAGATCCTTACGGCAGACTATGGGGAGGAGCAGTGTTAGTGATGCTTTTTTTTATGGACGATAACGCCCGACCTCACGGTACCAACGCTGTAAATGAGTATCTGGAAAAGCAAGGCATCAGTCGTTTGGACTGGTCCGCACATGATGAATCCCATAGAACATGTTTGGGACATGCTTGCCCAGGACAGTGGCAGCACGCAGTACCCACACAGGACTCTACAAGAGCTTGTTCATTTTACTCGGGAAGAATGGCAAAATATTTCGCAACAACATCACCAATCTGATAGACAGCATGAACAGACGTTTCCAGATGCTAGAGGTGGAAGTACCCAATATTGAAGGTTTTGAAGTACTTTTTCTAAATAAATCCATCAATTTGTAAATTTTGATTTTTACTTAAAAATACTCTTTTTACACTTAACGTTCCCATGACGCCGTGCACGAAAAGCTTCTCCAGTGTGCGAAATGCCTAGTTCGCACACTCAGGTAACAAATACCTGATACCTGACAGGAAACCAAAAATAATTAAAATTCACCTGCCTTTGATTGAAAATGCAATTTTAGCTTCGAATGATCGATATTTAAATGGAGTTGCAGAAAAATATTGTTTGCAACTCGTGCGCACAATACTTTGGTGATCTCGACTATTATTTCAACTCGGCTGCGCCTCGTTAAAAAAATCAGTTCTCGATCACCAAAGTAGCATTTCGCGCACTAGATACAAAAATAACTATTAGCAAGTGTAATAAATTTTTTGTAAAAGTATGTAGTAGATGTTTTCTTAATTGAAACTAATCAATTAGAGACACTTAGGGTGATGCAAAACTTTTGTATCTAAGTGTATATTTCTTTTATTATCGATCATTTAATTACTTACGTCCACGTCAATCCCGGGCAAAGCAAAAACTTTTGTGTTTGGCAACTCCTTAGGAATAAACCGATAAAACTCTCTCGTTCCTTTGTACCACTTCACTGTGTATAACGGTTCTCCTTCTAAATCGTAGTTACACTGGAGCGTTATAGTTTCTCCCACTTGAACTGCACTTGGTATTTTTACTTCTATTTCTTTCAAGCTCTTCATGCCTGAAACAAAATAAGATACTTGTATCTTTATTTCTATGAAATAAAATGCAGTTGTTGAAAAATACAACAATAACATGTTTATTTTGGAAAATTCAATATCGTCGAATCTTGAAGTATCTGTTGGGAAATCTAAAAAAAAAAAAAAATATAATTATATTATTCTGAATAAGTTGGAAAATATATAACATATTTATTCCAATCTAATAAACAACCAAATATTGTCTAGTAGGTAACAAATAATAGCAACTTAAACAAACAATAATGTTCATTTCAAAGTTTGGAGTTTAGATTTTGAAATCAATAACGGCCACCTGCAACATAAAGTTTATAACAACTAGTGACAAATCTCGATTCAAAAGTTTGTTAGTTTCCAGTTTAGTTGTTGTTGTTCCTTCTCCGGTTGATAAACTCTCGCAATTTATTGCATCATAACGAAAATATATTGCTCCCGAAACTTTTGTACTATGTGGAACGTTTAAATTCGGATTATTAGCATTACTCGTGCTACAACTTTGTTGCTAACTTTAAAATGTAGTCTCTGTGTCATATGTTTTAGATTTGGTTAATAATAGAAAAATCATCTAAGGCCGTATTCATGCGGCCTTTGTATTTTCCTTTTTACCACAGTTAGCACCTTCTAGTTTTTTCAAAATTCTACCACTATCCATGCACAAACAAATTATGATAATTAGCTGTTTGGCCAGTACTTGAGGTTTGTAATGAGTTTGTTAATCCACCATGATGCCTTCTTATTCCATAAATTGTAAAGCTAACTTTTGACTCATTGAGGTCGAGTCAGGTGTCATCTCCAATTGAATTTCTTGCATCAAGAACAAAAATTAACCAAAAGACGGCACTGAGTAAATAAATTCTCTCATTTGCATCATGTTTACAATTTTTTCTTTTGGAACCTTCTATCATTTTTGGTATCGTTTGTACCTTGTCGGATACCTATTAAAATAAGGAAGTTTTTGAAAAAAAATTACACATGTTACTTGATGAGTTCCATGAAAACAACCGTTGTGAAATTCTGATGCCGTATTTTGAAAAAATATTTTTTAACAGATTTTATTTAAAATTTTCCCAGGACGGAAATGTTTCCGGATATTATTCATTACAAATATAGGACCATAGTGTTGGGCAAGTAATCTAGTAGAAAAGTTGGAAAAGTATACGCTAGATTTTTTACTAATTAAATCTTAAGGCAATTAGGTCTATGTTTAAGAAAAACAGAAATGTTGAAATATCTTAAAAACTATTGAGTTTTGCATAAAGCATGTTATGGTTAAATTTGCATTTTACCTCATCCCCTATCACATCTCCAAAGTAATGTATCAAATTACCAATAACCCTGTATTTAACACATACATAACTTACCTCATGTGATATAATAATGATTATAGTGAGAAAGGTGCACACACAGTACTCTAAGTGCCATTGTACACGAAGTTTAGCAGTATTATGTGTAGGGAGAGGGGGTAGTATAAGTATAAAAAAAAATAATAATAATTTTTATTATTAAGTTGTTTATTTTATAGTCAAATCATACTAAATCAAAATTATCTCGGAAATTTTAACTTTTTGTAATATCTTTTGCTGCTGGATAAATAAATAAAAATTATTACTGTTTGTGAAGTGAGTTTTAATGAACCCTGGAATCCGTGACAATATCCTTACACTTTTACTAAATGAGTTACTGAATGCTGTTTCAAATTATTTCTGGTTCCAAATTTAGCGTTGCATATGTTACATTTAAAATTATTTTTCTCATCCGAATGTTTTAATGTGTGTCTCTTCAAATTGCATTTTAGTTTAAATTTTGCTTTGCAAGTGTCACATTCAAAAGGATTAATATCGGAGTGTGTTGATTTATGATTCTTTAAATCGCCTTCTCGTTTAAATTTTGCTTTGCAAGTGTTACATTCGAAAGGATGAATATTGTTGTGTGTTAATTTGTGAGTCTTTAAATCGCCTTTTCATTTAAATTGTGCTTTACAAGTGTTACATCCAAAAGGATACATGTTATCCGAGTGTATTAATTTGTGCTTCTTCAGAACGTCTTTTTGTTCAAATTTTGCATTGCAAGTGTTACATTCGAAAGGATGAATATCCGAATGACGTGTTATCATGTGATTTTTCAAATAGTCTTTTCGTTTAAAATTTGCTTTGCAAGTGTCACATTGAAACAGATTTAATAAAATTTTCTCTGTATCGCTTATTGCGCCTGCTATTTTTCTCAATTTTCAACGTCGGCAGAAAGTTAGAAGTTTGGGTTCGCGTATGCGTTTTTCTTGACTGATAAGTGATAACTGCCATGCTATGAATTCACAAAATTATCAGTGCAGGAACAAAGCAGTAAATTTATCGTAGCAACATTTTGAATGAGGTGCTGCATCAACGACCTATCTAATTGGGTTATTCTCCTCATTAGAATGAAGATCCGGGATAAATCAAAAATTGCAGCTTGAAACTCATCATTTTTAATTCAAACAATTCTATATCTATTATTTTGTAGCTCCTCATCGACATAAATAATTTTAAATTCAAAAACAAAATGGCGAATTTATCGTAGCAACATATCAATTACTACATTGAATTACCTATTATTTGACGAGCTACTATATCCGGCACCTGATTCGAATTGAGAAGAGCCGGAAATAATATAAAATTGAACATTGAAACTGATCAACAATACTGGTGCCATTTTGTACCAACTCATTATGAAAAGATTATACAAAAAGAACAACATTGCAAAATTATCGTAGTACAATTTTGAATGAGTTACTACAAAAGAATTATTCAATTCAGAAATAATTTCTGGTACTTGATTCGAATCAAGAGCCTGGAATAATAAAAAATTGATGAGCTCATCTAATCAATTAGGCACTAGCTGACGTCGAACCCATAACCTTACTTTCGATCGGGGGGCAATCACAGCATTTAAGGACTATTCAAACAAGTACGCAAGTAAATGTAAATATCGTTTGTTTGTCCCAATGACATGTTTGTCCTCCTATCGAACGTGACGTTATGTGATTTATAACGTAATAGCTAGCGCCTAACTGATGATGGTAAACATTCCCCAAACGCTTTGTTTGTCCCTCCATCAGAAGTGAGGTTACGTTTACTACGTACGACAGCAAGTGCCTAGGTACAGCTTCAATAATAATAATTATAATGATCAGAAATTAGTATTTGAAATTAAGTGATGGGAAGGACCCAAATTTAATTCAAGGTGGATCAGTCAAGGAAAAATGTACAGTTCCAATGAATGAACATTAAACGCAGGTGTCCGAAATGTTGTAAGATTCCAACAGCTACCAACCGTTATGTAGAGATGTCACTGCAAGATATAAAGTGTGTTTTTTTTTTTAAAGATAAAAGTCAAAATGACATTATGTTGGCAATACAATGTAAAATTGTCGATGCTTTCAAATTTTTTATGTAGAAAAGGCTTGTGTTGCCAACATAGTTACTAAATTTTTGACTTGGGGAATTATCTTTAAAAAGAAAAACAGAGTTTAGTGATTCCACGAGACGAGACAAGAATACGCTGTTTCTGGTCTTGTCTTGAAGGTTCGAGAGAAAATGAGTCTATCGTTTCGACGAGAGACCCTCGATACGAGACGAGAGAGCTCTTCTCTCGTCTTGTCTCGTTTTCTCTAGTCTCTAGTCAGCTTTCACGCATAGTAGGTTAATATGGACTTCGAGGTCAAAAAAATATAAAAATGTATTCTCACTCCTTAGCTAAAATATAACACTACTCATAATACACATGGTTCTGGAAAGTATTAGACATTTAGATACTTTTTTATCTTAACAAAAGATTTGGAACAGAGCTGTCAGGTACTTTATGAAAAATACTTGAAATTGTACTCCAAGTTCTTGTAAGTACCTGAAGTACTTCACTTGAAATACAGTGGATAAACGGTAGGTACTTGTACTTGGTACTTGAACTATTTTCAACAATGAACTTTGCATTGTTCTTGATTTCATCAAGTACACGGACTGTAAAATCTGAAAGTTGTATAGGTAATATCAGAAACTTTACCTACATTTTGCGATGAACTTAGTTAGAAGTATATACCTACAGGGTATCACAAAAGTGTCGCGAAGCAGAGTTATACTTTTTTGAATGGAACACCGCATATCATTGACCTATTAGATTAACCTTCCAAATATAGGTACAGGTTTTTTAGGTTTATTCCTCATAGTTCAGCCTTTGAATATCCTATTTTGAAGAAATTTTATGGATATTTTACTTAAATGATTACCTTTATATTTTGCTGGTGGCTTATATACTTCACTTTTTTCCATAAAAATGCAATAGGGATGTTTACTATTTTTCAATTGTAATAAAAAGTGGTGGTTTTAGGTCCACAAAACACTTATTAAGCGTTAAAACATCTAGAAACCCTTTATTTTTTCTGATAAATCGAAAACAAAAAAACGAAAATAGCGAGGCTAGCAAAACGACCCCCTGAGGCGAAAGTACCGCTTGTGACGTCACTGTGCGGAGCGAAAAATCAGCTGGCGCGTTGGCGAGATTTGTTTACAAGTTTACATCCATTATTGTGTTGCTGACTGTTGCTTTATCCCAAGAAGCTTCATTCACTCCAATTTTCTGTGTTTGTGTAATGATGGGAGACTCAAACAAAGTTGAACCGAGTCGAAAAGAGTGGTATCTACGTGCGTGTTTTTCTACGAGGTGCGAAAATGTGCTCCTTTCTGCATGCAAATCATTGCGTGAAGACGCGTTTTTCACACGCTCATAGAAAAAATGGGCCTGACACGAGCATAAAGTATGTTTTCCGCACTTGCGGCTTGCACGAATGCCGCTAACTCGTCGTTCGTGCAAATACCGTTGCGTGCGGGAAAGTATAACTTTCCGCCATTCTTACAGGTAAATAACTATATATCATTGTTCAAATGCAACTTTACCTATATCTTATAACGTCTGTTTTACTTCTACACCAATGGACTGGAGCTGATTCAAGTCG